GGGACAATTCCATAATAGAGAAGACAAAGGAATGTTATGTTTATAGGAATGCGCAGAAGTAAAAATTGAAGACTTTCAGGAGTCCACAGGCTTTAGAATGTATTTTGTTGATAGCACGCAATGCCCCACAGACCCCAAAGTGTCCTGGGAAGACAGGTGTGAAGGACAAGACCCAAAGTTTGTGAGGATCTCAGTTCATGGTAACATAAGGAAGAAAGAGGGGAATAGAATATCCAGATGACCATAAGAGCTCCAAAACAGAACATATTGGAAAATGAAGGTTAGAAAACTATTTTCAATTTTATTTTCAGACTATGCCTTTCTTGCTCTAGTTGTCTTGCATATCAAGGGTTTTCTGTTTGACATACAATAATATTGACAGGAAAATTCCTTTATGCATGCACAGAAGTCTGTTTCAGCCTAGATCCATTTTGAATGTCGCTGGAGCTATTGAGAATAGTTTTTAAGTATGTAATTGATTATGCAAATCTCCAAGGAAATCTTGGAGTTAATTCATTATAAAGGCTAGAGAAGTATTTAGTCTATTCACTCTACACACACAATGTTTTTACATTAGATCTAGTTTTGAAACATTGCAGGTAATAGTAATAACCATCACCTCCTGTCCACCTGCTATGTGCTCTGCACATATTCAAGTTTTCTACCCTCCACACTGTTGACACTTAGGCCAGATAATTCTTTGTTGTGAGGAATGTTTTATGCATTATAGGTTATCTAGCAGCATCTTGACCTCTTCTCTAGTTGTGTAAACCAAAAATGTCACTAGCCTTTGCCAAATGCCCCTTGGTGGAAGGGGGTGAGTAAGGGACACAAAATCATCTCCAGTTTAGAACTACCGGTATAAATAACAATTTATTGGTTACCTATTTATTCTCGTAACAATTCTGCATGGTAGGCATTATTATGCCTATTTTAAAAATGGGAAGACTAAGATTTATAGAAGGATTTATGCCTGGGTCTTTTAACCACAATCTTTCTTCTGCTATATTATCTATATTCTCTTCACTATATGAAGATACGATACTATACTATTTTATACTATACTATATTATATTATCTCCACCTTTAAGGAGTTGGTACTCTGAATTTTCTAAAGGTTTAACATTCATTCCAGAAGCATCCTTATGATATAACTCTAGAATTATAGATTACTATACAACCACATTGAGTATGTGAAGGACAGTGGGTCAAGATTTTCTCTTAGGGTTGCTCTGCCCCACGGATTCTGCTCCTATTCTACACTGTTCTATTCTGTTACAGCCTCAGGACAATGGCTGGATGGCAAATAAAGGCATCAAAACCTTTGAGTGACTTTGATTATTGGCCAATTTTCAGAAAAAAGGGTGATTTGTATGTGTTATATGGGGGAAAGAGGAGGAATTCAAATAAATCTTTGTAATTTATAAAAACATTGTTTTGTGTTCCTACTGAATAGTAAGCTTCGTCTAATCTTACAATTGTGAATCAGTTTGCATACTTGTGAATCTGGCAAAAGATTTAGGGATTCTCAGTGATTTTACAAATGGATTAACATGGGAAATGATGGAAGAACTGTGTTATCTCTTTTTCCTTTTGTGGCCTGCCTCCTCATATCATGTTCCAAATTGCCTTTGAAAAGTCCCGACTGTCTGATAGAAGAGTTTCTTCCCTATGTTCACCAAAGGCAATGGTTTGGTTTTACATTATACACATTTTTACTTGATTACCTAGCACAGAAACCAAGGGTCAAAAATTTCTGTTGAATGAATGAATAAGTAAATAAATGAACCAATGTCAGATGAATGAATAATTGGCATTTTCTTGAATTCTGACTACGAATAAAATATGTTTCACTGATATTGGTTGCAATGATTCATCTGCAGAATGGAATAGAATATTAGAGATGATCATTTCTTCAATTTCTAAACTTCAGCCCCCTACTCCCAACCGCCCCCAATTTATGTGTGTGGGTGGGGGGTGGTGGTGAGGAAGAAGGTAATATCAATTCTTTTTAAAAGAAGAATAGGTATTTGGGAAGTTTGGGTTTTCACACTTAAAATATTCATTATCTGGAGAAAAAAAAAAGCATACAGTATAAAGAAAGAGGGAATGATTACTTTGTACCTGCTCTTCTAAAATAAAAGAAAGTCTGAAGTTTACTTGTGGATGTTATAATATGGCTTTTTAATCTGTAGAAATCACCCGTATCTATTATAATCCAATTTTTAAAAGACTTGTGTATACAAATTATCAGAATGAACAGCAATTTAAAAAACAGTTATTTGGTATGATTTGACAAAACAGAATAAAGCTTCACTTTACAACTTATTGTGTTGACCAAGAATTTTGAATTTCTTATAATTACGAAATATTAGTATTAGTATTAGTATTTAATTTGCTGGCATTTCCCTTATTCCTTCTACAAATATATTATGATTCAAAAATTATAGAATGCCATGTTTTTGGAGCTGAAAGTGGCCCAGTATTATCCACTCCAAACCACATCCCCTTCTTTAAAACAACAAAACAAAACAAAACAAAACAAAACAAAACAACCAACAACAGTTGAAGAAACAATGAAACCCAAGTAAAGCAGTTAGGTTTTACCTTTTTCAACTAAATAGAGATTTAATTGAAATTTTAACATTTTAATTTGTAAAATAGGTTTTTATTCTGATGCTTTGGGTCCAGGGAGCACTCCTAGCATTATCAGAATTTCTAGAAAAGATTCTTCCTCTACATTTGTCATTCAGATAACAGGGGCTGAGATTTCTGCCAATTAACGCAGGAAGGCTTGGGTTAACTTCTTAGTCATTCTCTGCCTCAGTTTACTCTCCTAGCAAATATGTGCTTCAGCTACGATGCTCTGAAATTCCTTCTAGCCTTACTTCTCTAATTCTGATTCATATTAAATATTCTTTTTACAAAAAGCAAGCTTCTTTTCTTAACCTCAAGGTGAGTAAGTGTTAAAGTCTATTTTAAGTATTTCTTTTGGAAGGTTTTTGTCCATTGTACTGCTATTTGGTTATCTGAGAGCAAGTTTCTATGAATACCTCTCTTTAAAATGACTTTTGAAGTGGAGAGTTCAAATCTATAATAAATACCAGGAATGAAAGAGTTTTACACCCTAAAAGGAACAGGTCATGACCATCAAAGGAGACATACTGGTAGTACATTTCCCAGGTAAGACACCACAAACAGCAAATATTTATTTGTCACCCACTCTATGCCCAGTTCTCATTTTCTTTTACTTTCTCTCTTTAGTGATCGAATCAGCATCTTGACTTTGAACTATCTGTGTGTCCTTATTAAATAAAATCTCTCTTCTCAGATCTAGAGCTTCACCGACAATAATTTCCACACATTTGTCCCATGGACACCTCAAATAGAGAAAGTCTCAGATTCTCCTTTCCACCCACCTTATAATTGTACTTTCTTCCAACACTTCCCACCCATGTGCAGAGTGGCTGCTCTCACTTGTAATTCAACACACCTGGAAGATCCTGAGGGCAGATGAAGGACAATGGGATTGGAAAAGAAGAAGTGAACACACAAGATGGAGAAAGAGAAGGTGAGAAAACAAGCAAAAGATGGTTATAATTGTCCGGGCACGACGGGATAAAGGTTTGGAACAGGGAACATGCGTGACCACTCTGTAAATGAATGAACGAATGAACGAATGACTAAATGACTATGTGTATGCAGTTTGTCTGTTTGGTTTACCAAGAAAAATAATAGGACAGGGGTGCCCAGGTGCCTTAGTCAGTTGAGAGTCTGACTCTTGATTTTGGGTCAGGTCATGATCTCAGGGTCGAGGTATTGAGCCCCCCGTTGGGCTCTGCACTGAGCGTGGAGCCTGCTTGAGATTCTCTCTCTCTCCTGCTCTTTGCCGCTCATGCTCTCTAAAATATAAATCAATCAATCAATCAATCAATCAATAAATAAATAAATTCTTTAGAAAATAAAACTAATAGGGCAAAGAAGAGACATTGAAAGGAATAGAACTGATGCATTCGCTCTTATTTAAAATACATGGTATCATCAGTTTTTATTTTTTGTTAAAAAGTCACAGAGTGTGCTCATTTTTATTAAAAGCGTGGAGGGAATGTAAAGTCTGAAAATCATGACCATTTTCAAACTAATTGCGGTTTGGCTCCATGTGGTTTGCAGCAAGGAAGATGAGTGCTGCTGTTTCGGTGTGGACTCCACTCTGAGCCACGCTTTGGAAACATCAGCAACTTATTCTTCACTGTGTGGCTCTTGAGAATGTCTTTCCTAGACTTGGCCTATCACCCTCAATTCCTATTCCTGTATAAAAGCACGTGGCGACGTGTCCAAAGATGGAATGTCGACACAGTGATACTTTTCTAGAAAATTAAAGATATTTCTGGGCCAGCTGATGGGCATACATGAATTTTAAATTGCATCTTATGCTTAGCTATTAAAATATGTCAGAAACATAAATTCCCCTTTGAAGCTATCCTCCTATTTCTTTGAAAATAAAATGTTGGTGTGTCTGGGTGGCTCAGTCAGTTAAGTGACTGACTTTGGCTCCGGTCATGATCTCATGGTTCCTATGTTCAAGACCCGCATCTGGCTCTGTGCTGACAGCTCAGAGCCCAGAGCCTACTTCAGATTCTATGTCTCCTTAGCTCTCTGCCCCTCCCCCACTCACACTCTGTCTCTCTTGCAAAAATAAGTAAACACTAAGCTTTTTTTTTTAAAGAAACAAAATGTTAAAGAAAAGACAATGTTACAATTTTAATGCAGAAAAAAGATAAGGTTCTCAGAAGAGTGTCTTGTTCTGGATCAATCATAACTAAAAAACATCTGTCACAATGCCTTAAAACTTCTTACATGATAGGGGCGTCTGAGCGGTTCAATCGGTTAAGCTCTTGATTTTGGCTCAGGTTGAGATTAGCCCTCACGGGGCTCTGCGCTGACAGCTTGGAACCTTCTTGGGATTCTCTCTCTCCCTCCCTCTACCCCTCCCCTGCTCGTTCTCTCTCTCTCTCTCTCTCTCAAAAATAAACTTAAAAAAACATATGGGATTAATAAATCCTGAGACATTTCAATGTAATCTCTCAAATATTATGTTACGCAGAAAGTCAACAGTGGTGAGACGAGGATTCAGCACTCCTGACCCAAATCCTCTCCCTCTTTCATGCTTACCAAATGAGGTTTCCAAGACCTTATAAAATCACCAAAAGGTGTCCTGCCCTGGTGTCTCCCATATAAAATAGCTGTTGAGGTCAATGAGAGTTCTTTGTCTATAGCAATCTCAGAGATGGCTTAGAGGTTTTATTCCACCGGGAAAAACAACATGTTCGCCAATCTGATCTGGGTTCGTTTGCTCTACTTTTGGAGGAAAAAAAGGAGAATAAAAATATACGTTCTTTCTGTGATTTTTCTCCCAGACATTTCCCTTTTTATTTCTCAGGCCAAGTAGGCTGCCATCTGAATCGGAATATGAAGCGCCATGACCTTTTTCACCCACCCGTCATGCAGAGTCAGTTTTCCACCATTTAGAATTTAGTGCATCTTTGGCGAAGCCTGACAGGTACATGGAGGGTCGGTGGAGGAGGACGGAGGAAGGTAAGAAGGCTAAGAAAGCAACCACATAATTTACAATCCTCATGCCCTTAAGAGCACAGCAAGCAGGTAAGGTCGAGCATGCTGTCACAGAGGCACCAGCCAGGCCTCCAAAAGCTACAGGATCTCATTTCATTATCCCATGACCTGCACTGCAGTGCACAGACATCTCACTCTAGGACCATAGCTAATCTACTGTGACAGAATGGGACAACAAGAGCAAAATCGTATACCTTCACTTCCCAGTAACAAGGAGGCTGAATGCAAACCACAGAACCAACATTGCCTGGGGGCCAACATTCTTTTGGAGAACAGCCATGATGAGTTAGAATCTGTAGAACTTAATGATCAAACTCTGATTCGGTGACTTCACAGTTGTGACCACAGTGCTACATAGCTCTTAAGGGCATTGGCTGTGGGTTCAAATTCTGCCATCTGTGAGCTCCATAACCTTCACTTTGACATGTCTCATTTCAGCTTCCTTAATTATAACGTGGTGATCAGAAGAGAGCCAAATGCTTAGGGTTGTTAAGAGAAACGAAGAGACTAATCCATGTAAAATGCATAGCACAGAACATGGTCTCTAGTAAGCACACACTAAATACTAGCCTTTAGGATTATGACAGATACTTCATCAGTGTGTCTTTGATATGTCTCCCTTATTTCTTTAGGTCAAGCTACGTATTTTTTGGCTATTCATCTCTCGCTACTAAAGAGAGTCTCTTCAATTTCTATAGATTGGCCTAATCAACTTGCCAAGTCACGACAGTAAAAAGCTCACATCTTGACCAATGGCATCAAATTATCTGAATAACTGAGGAAATAGTTACAAGTGTGGTTCTGAAAAGGAGAGATTAACCAAATGTTCCCAGCGTGCTCCACACATTCTGTGTTCATTGCTTATAATCAGTTCTTACCCAGCTCACCTTGGGATAGTGTAAAGTCACAGTACAGAAACAACTGAAGAAAAATAATTAATCTCATGTGCTGCTTTGCCATTTAGAAAACACAATATCGCAGCAGATCATAAATAATATCTTACAGTAAAGAGTCCCATTAACATTAGAGAACGCTGCAGATTCTGAAACTCCTCATTCAGATCGGGCTTTGTATCAGAGATTCCTTTTGTTACCGGACAGGGAGATAAAGGGGGTAGCAGTCAACATTCACTCTTTCCCTTTTAGATTTGAAAAGAAAATGATCCACAGGGATATTTTTGATCTACAGTGAAATGTAATATTCTGTTCAGGAGATGACATAAGTATCACTATTTTGGGCGTGGGGAGGTGGAGGCAGAGAGGACCCTGCATATTTTTTGCTTGTTTCCTCTCTCATCAACTGGAAACATGACAGTGTTAGTAGCAAACCTTCTATCCAGTGTATAAAAACCCAGCACTTAGGCATTTTTGAGTGATAATTCAATAGGATTAAATTACACTCATGTGACAGGTCAACCTCACTAATGAGGTACATTTCAGTAAACTGTTGACAGAACTGTCTGGAAGGTTTCTTTAATTTACCAACATGTAAGAACGTGGGAAAAGCATTAGTCAACTAGATGAAGATGAATACGTAGTGAGGTCTAGGGGTATTTTACATTAATATCTGACAACCTGAAAGGGTTTTTGTCACCTGCTCTACTTAGCCCAAGGCAGGCACAGAAAAACTGGTACCTGTTAGTGTGAATGACTTTCCAAAGCAATGAAAGGAATTATCTTAAAGAGGGCTGAGTGGAAAATACGTTAGAGAAATTTCTTTTCCTTCCAGTTAACAGGAAGAGTGTTCCTCACAATGTGGGCGATGGTTGCAATAAAGTTAAAAGAATGTTTCAAATCTCTTCAGACAGCTACACCAACACTTTCATTCTTGGAATCCTTTGAGTTTGTCCTTACAGATGAAAACACCTATCTTTATATAGTCATGTATTGACTGGGAATAATGTAAGGTTATTCTGTCCAACTAAGTAATTTATTCCAAGCCAAGGAAAGAAAGAAAATATAGGAAACACGGAAGAACAATAAGAAAGACAAGGAAATCTGCTCATTAAGGTATCAGATACTTACAGAAAAGCTTTCATAGCTGAGATTACACTGGCCAATAAGAAGAGGGCCATGTAATCATTTGCGTCCTTTGGAAAATATTCTGAAACTATTGTTTCTCTAGTGGCAAGCAATATGGCTGAAGAGAAAAAGCAGATTAACTTCAGGTTAATGGATGAACATGGTAACCAACCGGTAGGGGTGTTAACAGATTCCAAAATAGACATCTGGGTTCCAAGATCTACCCGTTTCAACAGTTACTCTCTAGAAGCACCTCAGTGGCTCAGTTGGTTAAGCATCCGACTTCAGCTTAGATCATGATCTCACAGTCTGTGAGTTTGAGCCCCGCGTCTGGCTCTGTGCTGACAGCTCGGAGCCTGGAGCCTGCTTCGGATTCTGTGTCTCCCTCTCTCTCTGCTTCTCCCCTGCTGGTGCTCTCTCTCTCAAAAATAAATAAATGTTAAAAAATTTAAAAAATAGTTATTCTCTATATCTAATCATACTAAAAATCTTAATTTACAGATGTCTTCATAAGACAAGTTATGCTATGAAGGAAAGGTGGGAGCAAAGATGGAAATACTATCTGACTGCATCTATTGGTCAGAAATTATTCTAAACAACTGAGCGCTTTAGAAGGATTAAGAGAAAAAAAGAATTAAGCCAGTAATGACGCCTATAACTCTTGACTATCAAACATATTACAGGAGACTATGAATTTAGCTACTCCATGCCATCAGCCAATTTAGAAAGCACACCTATTTAGCTTTGAAACAGGAATAAGCTTCATAGCATTTCCTTGTAGCAAGTTACATTTCTCATTTCACCTTGATATGGCTCTTGCTCCAATGATTTAGCATTTCCAGAATACACAGTGATTTGTTGGAGGTCCCTGGGAGACAGGCTAGGAGAGAGAAGATGGAAAGATTTAAAGAGTAAGAAACCAAACTTTTACACTGGGCCAGCTAGAAGTACACTACCTGAGTGGTAAGAAAGGTGAGGAAATCATTCAGTGTTGTTGTCAACACACACACACACACACACACACACACACACACACACACACACACGTAAACCTTCAAGCTGGACCCTGGAGTAAGAGAGAAATTCTGCCAAAAGAAAAACTCTAAGAGGTCTGAAAACACTGAAAAGGTGTTTGCCAAACAGAAGGGAACTATCACAAAAGGGATACTGCACCAACAGGGTAAAACTTATTTTGCTGGTCTCAGATACGATTTCTGACTCTGAACATTATTTTCGGTATCAGTAATGATCATAATGACAATAATTACTAACATTTGCCCCAAGCTCTGCTATTCACAAAGAACTTTCATCACCTCACTTGTTCCTGTGAGGTAAGTAGGGTCAGTTTTTTTTTATAACACCTGACAGATGAAGAAGTTGACTTCAGCAATTCCCATTTCGGGGTGCAAAGCTGCCGAGTAAAACAGAAACTCAGGTCCTCTGACTCCAAATCCAAGTACTTTTTTCACTGTGCTAAACTATACCAAAATATCAATTGGTAGAATATCCGGAGGCAAGGTTGCAGATTCTGATGAGGGCTGATACAACCCAAGTGGGAATCAAATATCCCAGAGGGCATTTGATCTGAGTAATCCTTATAGAGAATTCTAGAGGAAGGACTCCAGATCTCTACACCCAGGCTAGGTATCAGGGAGAAAAGCAACTTGATTCTTTTACTTTCCCCTGACTATGTAAAAGAAATAAAGAAGGGGCAATTTCCAACGTATAATACAATGTTCATTTCCAATGAACAATATAAGATTAAAATAAAGACAAACCAGCAGCAAAGAAAATAATTTAGAGCAGTTTAGAATTCACACCTATAAAATATTTTAGTAAAAAGGTCTCAGTTGAAAATACTAACTTTAACAGTGATACTTTTACACAGAATGTGTATATAGGCGTTGGTAAATCTTGGGCCACACTTACATATAATATGGTTCTAGGGTGCCTGATGGCTTGGTTGTTTGAGTGTCCAACTCTTAGTTTTGGCTCAGGTCATGATTTCATGGTCACAGGGTCAAGCCCTGAGTTGGGTTCTGCACTGAGCGTGGAGCCTGGTTGGGATTCTCTCTCTCTCTCTCTCTCTCTCTCTCTCTCTCTCTCTCTCTCTCTCCTTCTGCCCCCCTCCCCTGTTCATGCTCTCTCTCGCTCTCACTCTCTCTCAATAATAATAATAATAATAATAATAATAATAATAATAATATGGTTCTAAACAGTTTTAGGTTAAAAAGGCTGTTCTGGCTGTCACCCTGACCAAGTAACCCTCAACTGTCAAATAATAGCTTGATGTAAATAGTTTTAAAATTAAAAATAGACAATGAAACTTTGTGTAATATTGACTCAGCTAGCTAATCAATGATTCTGGAAAGCTTCGATAACACTCATAGGTGATAATAGATTTTTTGACTGCTTACCATGAGTTAGAAACTGTGCACTTATAAGCATTATGTAATTTCATTCCCCCATAATTCTGTGGAGGTTGGTGCTGTCATTAGCCACACAGAATATGCAAAAAGCCTGCTGAGGGCATAGGTACACTGTCCACACTGCACAGCTAGTCATCAGCAGGGCCACCGCTTGAATCCAGGTCTGTATTATTCCAGAGTCCAGCCCCTTGACCATGCTGGCTTGGCTTTACTTTGGCCACATCCTGCTTCTCAGTGAACTTTCTAATGTTTTGCTATATTACTCATTCTGGCTATCTAACCTAAAGATAGATTAGTTTGGAAAGACAGAATGAAGTTCAATCAACTGGAAGCAAAATGGAATATACAATAGATAATTTTTAAAAGTCTACTTTCTGATCAATGGGGAAAGTTGGTGCCCAGCTGAGGAACCAGTACATGGCCAGGAATAGTACCAGAAGTGGTTCCCTTTTAATCTTCTAGATAAACTTGAATTTGTATGCCAATATGTATTACAAAGATTTTAATACTGTTTATAATAGGAAAAAAAACACTTGTATGGAACCAAAGGAATAAATACATTCTGACAATTATATGTGATAGAATATATATAACCATGAAAAGAAATTAAGTAGATTCATATGTGCTGATACAGATCAATTACTAAGATGTTAAGTTCAAAATCCAGGTGTTAAGGAGTATGTCTGGGAATGTTACAAATATTTTTTAAAGGATAGATACCCAAACTTACATGAAATATAATATCATTGGAAGGATCTACAAGATTCTGACATTGTCTCTGTAGGGGGTGTCCGATTCAGAGAAAAGGGAAAGGCTCCTTTTTTTGAGAGAGAGAGAGAGACAGAGAGACAGAGAGACAGAGAGCAAGTGGGGTAGAGGCAGAGAGAGAAGGAGACACATAATCTGAAGCAGGCTCCACGCTGAATCTCAGGCTCCAAGCTGTCTGCACAGAGCCCTATGTGGGGTTTGAGCCCACAAGCCATGAGAACATGACCTGAGCTGAAGTCAGGTATTTAACTGACTGAGCCACCCAGGCACCCCAAAACTACTTTTTAATGTATAATTACTGGTATTGTTCCTTGTGTCATGTGCATGAATTACTTAAGATTATTTTAACATTAATAAAAAATAACAGGTTCAATGTTTATTGACCTGAACAATGGTTAGAGCACATGGGCCATGTTAATCCAGAAACACTGGCCTTGGAAACAGATAAAAATGTTAAATTTGGTTCTGTCATAAGCTAGCAGGGCAGAGTTTTTGTACAAGGTATTTAATCTCTCTTTCAGTAACGATTTCATTTATGAGAAATTGGTATCACGGTATCCACTCTACATCTACAAGTTCCTGAGAGATAATACACAGTAAAGCAGTCTCCAAAGTATAAAAAATTGTCGTTGCTGCTGTTGTGGTTACGTGGTGAGGTAGGTTCTGGTCCTGTCTGGAAAGACACGCAGTCAGGAAGGCAAGACTTACCACGGGTAGCTTGACGGGCTACGTTGAGGGGTCAACCAAATACTTGCCAAATACTCACTGTACTTAGTACCATATTCCTATTGTTTTGCAACTAGATGTGAAAATATTCATGACTTCCCTTTTAGAGGAAAATATTTGTTTGGAGAAATACTCGAATGAGTCTTTGGGGTAGAACCAAACCTGAGAGGGACCTTGGCGAAACAGAGAGAAACAGTCTTGCTCCTTTGAAAAAGGTGAAGAGGAGAGAGAGACGGATGAAGGCTGAGACCAACAAAAGGTCGGGGGCTCAGCAATGTGACCCTGCCACACCGTGTGTCACTGAAACAACAAAATGGCGAAGGTGAGCAGAGTTTGGGGGAAGCCAGTAAAAAGGCTAACTATAACATTCACAGGTTCTCTCAAGACAACGGAGGCAGGGAGCATGAGAGGCAGACCCAGAGGGAGAAGCACAAGGAAGTAAAAACCCAAGGACGCCCATGGATTGAGATCCAGCTCAGGTTTATCTTAGAAGAGTAAGGGGCAGGGGCCCCAGCCGACTTCAGGGTGAATGCTATTTCCCCACACAGGTACTTGGCCATTAAAGTTCAATACGCCCTAATGTTAGACTGAGTTTACAGAGCACAACTGCGGGAGAGTCGGCCCAGAGGATTGATTATCCACAATCAGCAGCAGCATTTGTAGGTGAAGCGCAAATTGCCTTCCCTGGTGCTTGACCCTTCCAAACCATAATGATAATTGCCACTGTGTTGCAAGCTGGACTTATGAACAACTCAGGGGTTAGTGCCCTCCCCTCAGGAAGGCTACCAAGTAGTAGGGACTGCATACATCTGATTGTGACAAATTACTAGTTTACCTGCTAATCAGTGCACAGTAGGAGGTATTTTGTAATATCACCAAAGCAGGAAACACCACCAGTCTCACCTCAATAAAATGAAATGAGATGAAATGAAATAAAATAAGATCTACTGCTTCTATATACTTCTAGTAAGAAATGAAACAGGCTCAATTTTAATCACGCGAGCAATAAATCAAATATCAAATTTAAAACAATGAACTGCAAAGAGCCTCCTCAAAGTCACTTAGCATTGATAAATTAGTAATGTATTATTAAATTATTCATATCTTTTTTTTTCCTTTGGACTATAATGATATACTGTACACAGCACTGATAATTTACTTAGGCTGAGTCCATTCATTTAATTATGCTGCTAAACTTGGTAGGCCAATTGGTCATCATGAGAGTTTCCAGGCAAGCTAATCACAAATATATAGAACATGTCCCTTATTGTCCCCAGCGGCTAAGTGCTAAAATGCTATTTAGTGCTCAGAAGGTTAATGTCCTGCTTATGTAAATTGTCCAATTTAGCATTCGGCAGCAGTATCATAAATTCTGGCTCCAGGATTTCATTAAACGTATGTTCAAACTAGTTGACCTTAAAGGTTAACAAGCACAAGTTAAACAGGACAATTATTTAACTCACTTCTTATCAAGAGACTGAAGCGTACTCGCCAGTTAATGGCTCCGCATACTTCACAATTAGAATTCTTATAAGGTCTCTGATAAAAGTGCAGGTCATGAATTTTCATAAGGGTGTCAGATAATAACTATTTATCTGCACTTGTTTTTCTTTCTTATAAACTTAAACTTTGATCTTAACATTCAATTAGAAATGATTCCACAGAGAAGGACTAGGTGACTCTAGGAGCTAGTGTTCGCTTTCATCCGGGTCTGCACGAGGATTTAAAACACGGGATCTGCGTGGCCATTCGTGGAAATTAATGTAAAAGTCAGGGACTCACCGTGAAGTGTGCAGAGCTCAGATGAAGCATTTGGCCCAACACTGAGTTACAGTATCTCCTACTGTTTGGGGGCATTAGATCAAACATTATTCTTTTCTTAAAAGGCCCTCAAATGCCTATTAATCTCCTGGAGAAATTGCATTGTCCTTTACACTTTTATTATTATGGGTTGTAATATGACGTAACTGAAAGTTAGATTATTCTAGGCATCCTTTTCCCTGATTCTTGTTTTCTCTCCTCGCTCTCCTTGGGCATTTTGAAAAATGAGCAAAGCTTGGGGAGACTGCTATCCGGGGCCGTGGTGACGCAGAGACTCAGCCATGGGCTGACATTTCCTCACACTTCCCTATGTGGCAGGATCGGGCAGTGACTTCAGGCACACATTGCATCGGTAACCGCACACGAAGATTCTCAACGGTAGCCAGTCGCCGTACTCCAGGAAAGGCACAGGAACACCCTCTCCTTGCAGGCTCAACTGTTCCTACTACGTACTCTTTGGGAGATAAAACGACGACTCAGAGCAAACAGGGTCTTATTAATAAATCATGCGCTGAATTTCTGTTAGGAGCTGAAATGGAGCAAAATAGGTCAAAATTGCCTATGGGCACATCTACTGGGGGCATAATAAATAATTTTTTTAATTTGGTAATACTCATAAAAATATAATTAAATGTAATGAGAGGAAAGGGACAGACGGGTGGGTAGGTGGGTGGATAGATATTAAATACCTGTACTTGGCCTGGTTCTTCTTTTTTGCACTTGTTATTCCCCGAGGTTGCTTATTGTGAAGAGCTATTTAAAGAAATAATACGAGAAAGAAATATTTTCTGGCATGAAAAAATGTGACAGTGTTTTATACCCTCTTGTGTTGCTCTTCATCCAAACTTCATCTTGTGAATATTGGCTTCAAATCCTGCCTGAAAAGGGACATAAATAAAGTGAAATGGCTAATGGACTAAAAACACTTATGATCAGGTTTTCATAACTAACATTATTGATAGCTTCTTTTGCACATGCACTCACACATAGCACAATATCCATTCCTAAAGTAAGATTTAGAGCCCTATTTGCAATAAAAAGGCTAGCACATGCAAATAAAGAATGTGAAAGTGAGGCTAGCAGATGGCATTCCCCCAGAAAGGGAGAAAAATGCCCCCCCCCCCACCAAGGCAAAGCTGACCACAGGGGAAACAGAACCCTTCAGATTTCAGACGTGCCTGGGCTTTTCACCACATCCTGGAATGGTCTTCAGGGACAGAGAGTTCTTTAGTCCTTAATTTGGAAACGACCACTCCTTTCTACTTTATGGCATTAGTATTTGAACTTGGCCAGGTAAATAGGCATGTGTGTCTGTCCGTTAAAACAACAGCAAGATTGTCATGCAGGAAATGTGACAGTAGAAATCAGGATGGTGGCAAGATGGGAATTATTTTCATAGGATCTGGTGCATTCCATGTCAATTTTAACACGGTCTTCCCGGGTTTTCTCCTCATTAATTTCTCTATGTTAGCAAACACTGTTGAAGAAAAACTTCCCCAATGCCTAGAAATTCATTTGATGTTGAAAAATTTCTTACCAATAATTATTTAAAAATATTTTAGCTGTAGTTACAATTAGAAGATGCTAACAAGGCAGAAAGCATTTTATCTGTCTCTTGCTATTTAGATACAGTTTTGGGGGCATGACTTTTTTTCTATTTTAGTTTGTATCATTCCTATGTCAGCAGAAAAAACTTTTCCTTCCAAATCTGGACTTTATTATTATGCTATTAAAAATTAAGTCTAGATTACATAACAAACTGTAAATTAGGGATTTATTAAATTAAATCAATTAGAAAGAACATTTAAGGAATTGGTATAGTTACTCAGGTATACAGTTTCTATTACACTAGAGTCCCCTCCTTCAATTATATTGAAAACATGAAAACAGTGGAATCTTGATGTACTGTCCCCTTTGGGGGGAACTCTGCATCAATATTGGAGTTTGTCTAATATTAGGTACAGCATAAGGAATATAGTCAATGATATTGTTATAGCATTGTATGGTCACAGATTGTAGCTAAACTTGTGGTGAGCACAGCATAATGTATAGAGTTGGGGAATCACTATGTTGTACAACAGACACTAATGTAACATTCCGTGTAAACTACACACACACACACACACACACACACACACACACACACACACATATAAATATAGGAGCACCTGGGTAGCTTAGTCAGTTAAGTGTCCAACTCTTGATTTCAGCTCAGGTCATGATCTCGTGGTTCCTGGGGCCAAGCCCCAGGTCAGGTTCTGCACTGACAGCACAAAGTATGCTTTGGAGTTTCTCTCTCTCTCTCTCTCTCTCTCTCTCTCTCTCTCTCTCTGCCCCTTCCCTGCTCATGCTCTTTCTCACTCAAAATAAATAAATAAACAAAAAATTTTAAATATACATATAAATATATATGTATTTGAATTCTTCATCTCTGTACTCTAAAGAATAGTGGTAAGTTCAAAGTTATACAGCAATCAAGAACAAAACCTAAGGCACCTGAGTGGCTCAGTCAGTTGAGTGTCCGACTCTTGATTTCAACTCAGGTCATGATCTCACTGCTGGTGAGATTGAGCACCCCTCGGGCTTTGCGCTCATGGCACGGAGCCTGCTTGGGATTCTCTCACTCCCTGTCTCTGTCGTTCTCTCTCAACACAAATAAATAAACATTAAAAAAAAAAAGAACAACAAAATCTTCCTCCCTTTCAGAATCTGATGGTCCCCCAAAGTATTACTACTGAGTGAAAAAAAGTGTTTTATACAGGGAATTGCAACCGGGACTTCAAGCATGATACTATCAGTATTTAGGTGCAAGTACTTATTTTTGTCCTTTCTTTTGTCTGAGTTTGAGTGTGATAGAGAACAAAGAAAAGCATGTCAAGAGGGGTGCGATATGACTACAGATTTGTCATAAGTGGAATAGCCGTTGCTCAGAGCTATGCGTGGGCCTCACTGCCAATAGCAACCACAAGTGTAATCAACAACATCTGCAGGGGAGCTGGAAACCGTGAGACTCACGTGGCCCTGCTCCTGCAGCCCATCATTCTGCCCACTCTCACCTCCTAACAAAGAAGGGCCAGCAGCCCAACTCCCGAAGCTGTGGGTTAGCATCGATCCAAACGGCGTCCACTCCAGGAGAGGCAGCTCAAATGTATTCCAAGTCATGCAACATCTAGAAGCGTGAATCCTGGTCGACATCAAGAATGGCTGCCAGCTGGGTAAAGACAGACGGAAGATGTGGTGCCTGGTGGTTCAGTCGGTTGTGCTCTCGCTCTCTCTCGCTCGCTCTCTCTCAAAAAGAAATAAATAAACTTTAAAGAAGGATGGAAGACACACTGGAACAAGAGAGGGGAGGTGGTTGTTGTAAGTTGACTTGTCTCCCCCAGAAACATATGTTGAAATCTTAATCTCTGGTGCCTGTGAATGTGATCTTACTTGGAAATAGGATCTTTTCTATACTCGCCACCCATTATGTGCCAGATACTGGAGTTACAAGTCAGACACAGAAACTTTACTCAAGAAGTGTCATTCTCCTCCAAATCTCAGTTTCCTCCTCTATTAATTTGGGGCTAATTAGGTTAACACCTTATCCATGGGGGAAAGTATAAGGAATGGGTAAGATATAATACATGTGAAGGGCGTTGAAAAGCCCAGTAATATTAGCTACTATTTCCACTGGATTGGAAATTCCTTAAGAGTAAAAACAATTTGCTATTTACCTTTGTATCCCTGCATCTTGCACAATGTTTGGCATTCAGGAAATACTTAATAAATATTTATTGTGTGATTATGAACACCAGTACAGATCAAATTAGTCACATCCTGGTCTGCTCGTCTTCATTCAACTAGTATAGCACTTCGAACATTAAACCGTACGATGTGAGAGTATATCATGGGCATCTTTGTAATCCTCTGCCCCTCACCTGACACAATCCCTGGAACATAGAAGGTACTTGGTATTTATCAGAGTAAAAGCTTGTCAGTTAATAATCATTCTAAATAGAAAACGTAAGGTTGGAAGAAGCAGCAGCACTTAGATATGTCTTCTCCGACCCTTTCAGAACTGGTGTCCATATGGCTGCAAATACTGAAGATTTTAGATTTGTAGACTCTTCCCTCCTCAGGCTTTGAAATAACCCTAGCCATGCTTGTTAGTGTATAAGAGGCTGGGTGGACATCAGGCAAGATTTCCATGAAAAAGGGACTTTTCAAGTAACATTTAGATGAGTAAGAGTTGTAAGACTACAAAGACCTAGAAATGGGAGATAAGATAGCATACTGGTAAAACTAATAAAAACCCAGCAAGTCTGAAGCATAGTGAGGAGGAGAGTAGTCCAAGATAAGGCTGAGAGGTAGGCGGGGGTGTGGCCAAGATTTTCAACCTCGGCACTACTGACATTTGGGGTCAGACTATCCTTTGTTGCGGGGGCTTGTCCTTGCTTTGCAGGATGTTTAGCAGCATAATCACTAGACGCCAATAGTACACCCCAGTGTAACAACCAAAAGGTCTCCAGGTACTGCCAAAAGGCCCCTTAAGGAACATACTCTCTGGGATGGAGAACCACTTGCAGGCCACGTGAAAAAGGACAAGAGGTCACTACGATCGACTTGCATTTTGAAAAAAATAAAAATAAAAATAAATCACTCTGCTTAGTGCATGCACGGAGACCAACTGGGAGGCCATTGCAAGAGGTCCACAGGAGGGATTTTGGAGGCTTTGACTAAGATAATGGCAGTAGGATGGAAAGAAGCTGATAGATTCAAGAGGAATTAGGAAGCAAAATATGAATAGTGTTGATAATCTTGCCAGGCATTTTGTAAATGACCATTTCACTGTTTTATCTGACCCTGCTCAAGACCTAGGAAAGAACCAGCAGAGCCAGTACTTCCTGTTATTGTCTGATTCAATTGGTTGCATCCTTTTTTCAGATCCAGGAACCTTCTTTGCTTATTAGTTATTGCTCATCCCTGTAATTTCTAACTCTACACTTTTTATTAAGGTTGACCTTGGAACTGTGATCTGACGGACACTGTTTGATTTCCACTTGAGGTGAAACTCAAGCAACACATGCCCTTTTCGATTACCTACCTGTTTGTCCCGGAAGCAGGATTACTAGAAGCTTGTCAAAGCTGTTAGCATCTTTACATTGATCTTTATTTTACAAGAAAAACTCAGGAATAATCTCAGTTTTAAAGGAAAAGAAATATAACTGTTAAGTGTACCATGGCCTAAGCAACTGCTGAAGGCCACAGTATGGTCTTTTGGTTATCTCACAGAAAAATCAACAGTCGTCAGAATATATTTATTACCCTATTTAGTGGATTTCAGTAACAATCTCATTATGCCCACCCTCACACAGTACAAGCCTTTCTCCATTAGAAGAAGGAACAAAAGGTCATAGCTTTCCTGCAATTTCTATACACTAATTACAGAGACCCTTTACTAGGTAAGCCTGAACATAATTGGGCCATTACTGAATCCCACCATGAAATCAAAAATATACAATTTTATTCTTATTGGTTTTCCTGTGAGTGAGACACAGATCATCAATGGATATTCAAAGGGTAGCAAGAATTTTATTGATGGGTTTTCCAACCACGAAATTCCAGCTCCAGGGATTCTATTAATATTCCTCATATTAAAGAACCTTATGGACAGGTGGCCATTTGCGACCTCCTCCTGATCCAAAGCAATTCTAAATATCTAGTTTTATAGTTGTGAACCTTATTCAATGGCAAGTTCAGGAAATAATATTGATGCCTATAAGAAAACTTTTTCCTTCAGAAAGTCATCAAAGTGTCCTTAAAGCCAGCAGTGTTCCAGGAACAATTTAATAAGACCCCTTCAAAACTGTGTGCAAATATACATAATAACAAAAAGGTAGTACCATTTCAACCTAGAGCTATATGTAAATGTCTGAATTAGGACATCTGAATCTGGTCTCAAGTCACTAAGAGAATCACTTGCTTCATGGACACACTTCTACTCTGGAAGTGAAGCTAGCTGCTAACTCCTATTGCAAAGCTTAACATTCTTCATCCAATTATCTTTCTTCCAGTGCAACGACAAGGTCCTAGTGCAATGAGTTTGGTGAAGTCAAGGCCTAATGTTGTCTAGTTTCCTTCTTAAGAAAATTAAGTTTTGTGGTGTCTGGGTGGTTTAGTCAGTTGGGCAACCGACTTGATTTTGGCTCAGGTCATGATCTCACAGTTTGTGACTGCATCAGGCTCTGCACTGACAGCTTGGAGCCTGCTTGGGAGTCTCTCTTTCCCTCTCACTCTGCCCCTCCCCTACTCATGCCTTATCTTTCTCCCAAAATAAGTAAATAAACTTAAAAAAAAAGAAAATTAAATTTCACGTTTTCCACTTTTATATAAATAAATCCATTTGAAATGACAAAATGAAAAGAACTTGAAAGAAAAATCAGAAAAGCCAAGGAGGCAATGTCCTTGGAAGGTATTTGTTAGGATAATGGCCATTTTTTTTCTTTCTTGTGATAATGACTATAATTGGGCTTGATCAAACACATGACCACACCCAATTCTTTTTTTAAAGTTCTATCAAGGGGCGCCTGGGTGGCGCAGTCGGTTAAGCGTCCGACTTCAGCCAGGTCACGATCTGCGGTCCGTGAGTTCGAGCCCCGCGTCAGGCTCTGGGCTGATGGCTCGGAGCCTGGAGCCTGTTTCCGATTCTGTGTCTCCCTCTCTCTCTGCCCCTCGCCCGTTCATGCTCTGTCTCTCTCTGTCCCAAAAATAAATAAACGTTGAAAAAAAATTAAAAAAAAAAATAAAATAAAATAAAGTTCTATCAATACCACAACAGCACCCTGAGGTAGCAGAGTACAAGAAATGGGAAAGTTAATATTTCATTAGAGCCTGAAAAAGCCAATCTTGTTATCTATGGAGAGGCAACATGGCACAGAAGGAAGAACACAGAGCTGGGAGTCAAGCACATGAGTGCTGGAATGTTCCTCCTCCTGTGTGGCCTTGGGAGTATCTCAACCAAACTCAGTCTCTTCTACTGAAGGATTGCAAGCATTAAAATTCTATGAGTAAAAAGAAATAAAATCTACAAGATTGCCTGTTGTTGTTTTTTAACCCTCTACGACTTTATATGGCCATGAGAGGCAACAGAAACATAAATTCCTTTGCCCACAAATGAATGATTTGTCTTTTGGTGATTTGTTCCTGAATCTCTTTCTCAACTTGGGAGCTCCGTCACCTGACTCAGTGCATATTGTGATCCTTTTCTGTCCAGGTCCAGGATCATTCTGAAAATAGAAATGTTTTTCTCACACCACTAGGCAGCAAATATTCAGACCAAGATTGGCAGGGTAGACAAATCTCTCCATTGTCTAAACTTCGAGCTTCCTGTTATTACCCATCTGTGAAGCAGAGATTCCAAAAACAAAAATCCCTGTTTTTTTGGACAAAGAAGCCTGAGGGTGTGGAACAGCGCACTGTGCCACATGCTGGTTCCATGTTTAGATCCCAGTAAGTGTAACCAATACCCATAAATTCAATAAGAAACAATTCCTGAAAAACCTGTAGGGTAACAACATCGGTGCTCAGTGCTGAGCTTCCCTTCCAGGTACTGAAAGGAAAGAATATTTTGGTGCTAGCAATATTGTAATGAGATGGCAGAAAATCTGATGACAAAAATCCTCATGTCATAATATTTAGTAGAGAAGTACTATACACAGCTTATGATGCAAATTATATTTAAATATAAGTAAATATATTTTTCTTTATATACATCTTTTAAAAACTCTTACAGTGAAAATTTATCAATTTGTTGTAAAGAATACAACAAATTAAAATGTTTTTATTAATTTTGAAAAAGAATACAGCAAATTTAATTTTGAAAAAATAGAAATATTTGGGAAATCTACATAAGTTGAGAAGTCATTTCAGTTTTATTTTTACTTATTATTTTACAACTTATTATTTATTTATTTTAAAATCGTATCCATATATTGATGACTTTGTCTTGATGTGCCAAAAATTTACAGGCTTTGGCTAAGCACAGAAGAGATGGGTATTATTGCATTCAAATGCTCACTTGCTTTCTTTTCTTCCTTTCTTGCTTTCTTTTTTTCTTTTTTTTTTGGAAGGGGTAGGGAGATTTTGTGACACATATGGTCTATTAGAAGCAAGAAACTCAATATCCCTGCCATCAATCTCATAGCACTTGGTATTATATGAGCATTTGTCTACAGTGCTTTATTGTGCAATTAACAAAAATGAGGGGGATGGCTTTAAATAACTAGTTTGCAAACATTCTATCTTTGTAGATAAAGCTGAATGTGTTATCTTTCCTGAATCAATGAGATGGTGCTCATGAAATGACAACTACGTAGTCAATAAAAATAGAACTTAAAGGGGCGCCTGGGTGGCTCAGTCAGTTGAGCATCCAACTCTTCATTCAGGCTCAGGTCATGATCCCAGGTTGCACATGATCCCTCAGTGCAGAGCCTCCTTGGGATTCTCTCTGTGTCCCTCTGTCCCTCTCCCCTGCTTTCTCTGTCTAAGAAAAATTTTTAAATTAAATTTTAAAAAAGGAAACAATATAGAACTTAAATACAAAAGTCTACGTACTGTATAATTCTATTCATAAGAAATTCTAGAAAAGGCAACATTCTTGTGTCAGGAAGTGTATCAGTTGTTGCCAGGCGCTGGTGGTGGGCTGTGGAAATCTAATACAAAGGGACACAAGGGAATTCAGGGAGAGGAGATTTTTTCTATATCCTGATGATTGTGGTGGTTACACAGGTTTATAAAATTACAAGCATTCAACAAACTATGCATCTCAAATTGTTCATATTTTAGTGTATGTAAATGATACCTTAATAAACATAAAAGAGTGAGAGAATGGGCAAGACTTGTCCAGACCTATTTATTTGAGGCGAGACCTAAGTAAGTTTCTGGCAAGAAGGCAAATGGCAGTATTTACCATACACGGTAAGAGTTCTGTGAGAGAATCCCTCAGAGGATCATTACTTGACATTTTTCTGGTTTATTTCTTGGGTGGTTGATAGAATTTATGTCTACCCACTCCTACAAAAATATAATCTCTAAAAGAAGAATGCCCTCTTTGGTCTTGTTCTTAGCTATATCATAAGCATACAGAATACTGTCTAAGAAAGGTAGCCCAAAGTACTTTTTGACTGAATGAAATAAATGAATATATAAGATAATTTCAGATCCCCGTAGGACAATGGAGATTCCTTATGATAACTATGATTTTCAGTTAACATTTGCCCGAACTAAATATTTCCTGTAAGGTGAGTATGGATAATAATTTTGAGACATTAATTTGTCTTTTGCTTTCTAATCTCTCCTTCCTTTCCAGTTGTGAGCAGACACCTAGGCTTTTGCAGTTACATTGATCATGGGACTGTTGCAGAGTGATAAGCAAGCTGTTTGAAATCCGTTGCTCCTCAAGTCTTTGTAAAATCATGTGTTTTTTCCTAAGAGATTGTGTGTCCCAGTGGTGTTAGGAAGAGTAGGGAATACTTTTAAGAATAACAAAGGGGAGGGGTGCTTGGGTGGCTCAGTCAGTTGAGCATCTGACTCTTGATTTCAGCTTAGATCATGATCCCAAGGTCATGGGATCAAGTCCTGCATCAGGCTCTGCATTGAGTGTGGGGCCTGCTTAAGATTCTTTCTCTCTCTCCTTCTGCTCCTCTCCCCCACTTGTGCATGTGTGCTCTCTCTCTCTCTCTCTAAAATTAAAAAAAAAAGAATAAAAGAATAACAAAGGAGGGCAGAGGAATTTCCTGGGAACTAGAACAAGGAGTCGTGGGTTACCCTAAGGCGGCAGTATAGGGAAGCCATACTGAGTGGAAAACAGTCACCACCAGACAATCAGACCAACTTTCCCAGTTGAGATCATCCCTCCTAGATTACCATGGGATTTCATACTTGTACAGTGAGCTCAGATCCACCAAAGACTGGACTCTGGACTGTATGTGACTTTTGCTCATCTTCCAATATTGATGATCAGATGAACTCCATCGTTGTTGCATCTCCTTGTTTCCCTCAGTCACCACTTCTGGATCATCCATTTTCATCCAGAAACTTGTCCAGTGCTCCTTCAAAGATTCCTTACCTGATCCAGTCTCTCTACTTCCTGTCCTTTCAAACCCCTTTACTGTGCTCTACATCAACCAGAATTGCCATCAGCAAACCCTCTACATCTTTAACCTCTTCTTTCAGGATTCTTTTCATACCCTTGTTTAGATGGAAGTTGGTTGACCTTGGAAGTTCCTCATAGGAAGGCTTGTTTACCTTTTCCACCTGTACCTAAAGTAGCTCAAGTATTCTTCACGTTCTTCTCTGCTAATCTTGCTTCTCCTCTTCTTAAACCACATTTTCCTGAAATGTCTGCTCCCTACTCACCTTACTGTGTTGGCCTCAATCTCAGCACTGTATTTACTAAGGATAGTAGCACCTGCTACCATCATTGGTTACTTCAGCCTTCACATTGACTTGTGGCACTCTCACTGTGCATCAGATTCAGCCGGGACAGAGGGCTTTTAAAAAAATACCAGTGCTGACACCCTATCCCCAGAGATTTGGATTTACTTATTCTGGAATAGGACTTGACTCTTAGTAGGAAGCAGATCTTCCACCTCAACCCACTCCCATCCATCCCACAGAAGGAGGCAAAAGGGCTCCAATTCTCCTGCCCAATGAGACGGAAAGCAGATTTAACTTTAGACCTGAGTTTTTAATGAAATCACAAGGGTTGCCAAAAAAAGGAGCTGGGGCATTAGATACTGTGTTTATTTTGGGCCATCTGGGAGAGCCTAGAGTCATTCATTTATTCACTGAATAAGTAGTTATTAAGCATCTAAAATAACCTAAGCAATTATTTTTAGGTTCTCCATACCAGAAGGCATTTCTCTGCACATATGGTCTGCCATCTTGCTGAAAACCAGAGTCTTTTGTTTATTTGCTAGCTCCCTCTGCCAGGGCTTTCTTTCCAGTCATTCCACTGAACTCTTGACAAATTCCCTAGTAATCTCCTCTTTGGATACATTCCCGTCCTCACCTAGCTTGACCTCACAACAGTATCTATGAAAGATGATGCTTGCTTCCTTTTTGAAACACTTTCCTCTCTCGCTTTCCTAATTTCCCAATTCTTTCTACTTTCTGGCTATATGTTTAGAGCTCCTCATCTCTAAATACCAGAGTTCCTGTCAACTGGATTGTGGCCTTCCTTTTTTCTCATTTGTTCCTGGGCATTAATAACCACCAAATTGATGCTGTCAAATTTTATACCTCGCATCTCTAGCCCTGGCCTCTCCTTTGGCATCCAATTATTTAGTCAACATTTTTACTTAGATATCAAGATCTTAAACCTAACAAGTCCAGATAGAAACAATCTTTTCTGCAAAGCTGCTCTTCCCCAGCCTTCCCTATATCAACAAATGGCATCATCATCCACCTAGATGTTAAGTAACAAATCTAGGCATAATATTTTATTCCCTTACTTCCTGTACGCATCCAATCCATCAACAACTGTTTGTTTCCACCTCTAAAATTAACTCCTTATATGTCCATTTAAATTTATTTCCACCCTATTCCAAGCCACCATGATCTCTCACATAGAATTTTACAGTAACCTCCTCCCTGGTCTGAGCATTTATACTCTGACTCCGACAATTTCCAACAGAACTAAAAAAGAGTCATTGAGAAATGAGTTCTGATCCTATTATCATCCTATAACACTTGGTATGTTAAAATCATACCAAGGCTCCTCATTTCTCTTTGGATAAAGTTGAGTGTCTGCCATAGATATGCTTGATCTGGCCCCTTCTGACCCCTGTCACCTCTGCATGAGCTACACCTCCCCTGATCCCTAGGCTTTACTCCTGCAGGCTTCTGTTTCCCAAAGGAGCTTGTTGTCTTCTTCTGAAAGAATTTCCCCCAGATTGTCACATGGCCGTCTCAATCCTACCACTCATATCCCAGCTCAAATGACATCTCCTTAAGAGTTTCTCTGACCTCTCTCCAAAGTATCTCACTCCAGCCACCCCTCTTTCCAAATCATTCTCTATTATATTATCACATTTTACTACCTTTCTGACACTTATCACTAGCTGTAGCTATTTATTTTTATTTACTTATTACTTATGTTTCACTCACATAGAATGCAAGCACCATAAGTACAAGGATCTTGTCTGTTTTGTTAGGAATCCCTAGTGCCTAATGTAGAACCTGGTGCATAGTAAGAGCTCATTAAATATTTGAGGAATAAATGACCTGCCTAGGAAGCCTTAACCCTGGGACTTTACCATTGCACAAATAGTCACCTGCCTTGGATGATGTGGCTGTTCAACTTTGGAAGGATGGAATAAAAACGCCCAGCTTTAATGCCTCTTTCACTTGTGTCATTGATCTAACAGGGACACACAGGTCAAGTTTACCTGTCACAATGAGAAAGAAGTTCCTTGTATACAATCAGGATGCACTTTCTTAGCAGAAATGAGAACCTAAAAGTCTGGAGGGATCAAAGTAGCCCACTTTTTCTTTTGTTTGCTTGATCATTCAGAAATGCTGGGCAAATCTTGTCATTGTTGATGGATACTGCCTAAGAGACTGTTAAATCCCATAGCGAGGTGAATTTTTAATGGAAAGGTTTTATGCAAGGTGGAATATGTCTCCTTGATGCATGATAGTACCTGTCTCACTAATGCAGGCTCTGAGACCAGGAGTCCAAGAGTAATTTGTTCAAATGAAATAAAGCCTATTCGTCTTGCCAGTACTCACCTGTTCTGTTGTTTAACACCAACCAGATGATGTAATCTGTCCCTTTCTTGTTTACAGGGATGTTTCTAAAAAGACAATCAAACATTGCCTCAGTCTGGTTAGGAATAATGAGGTGACTGCCTGGGCCTTAATTAAAGCAGAAGTTCAGTGTTGGGGGAGAATAAAGAAAGGAAAGTTATCCTCTTTTTAAGGATGTTCCAAAGGATTCGGAGACATGTATCCTTAAAAATAAAGATTGTGAGATTCAGAAACAGCCTTATGAACAAAAGGAGTCTACAATACTTGAACTTTGGAGGTAGTTCCACTTTTCCTTAAGAGAGCAAGATTCCCCAGTCTGTGAGAAAATGGAGTTCTAGTTACTTGCTTCTTAATGGATTTCAAAAGTCTTAAGACACACATGAAAAATTATTACTAGTAATTTCTTCTGTCCAAAGGGTCAATGCCCTGAGGAGACGCAGAATGCCATACACTTGTAGGCATCTAAATCTATGAGTCCCTGTCCCCCACAAAGGAAGGTTACTCACTGCTGTGTTCAGAACCTGTCGACACACGAGGATTTAGGTTCATCTTTATAGTCTCTGCACTCTGTGACTACTTTCAAACTAGAGTCCGGGAAAAAAAAACCACATTATATTATTTGTATTATTATTATTAATGTCAGATTACTGCTATTAACTATTTTTGCAGAGGTTTGCATTTTAGTCTTGAAGCATGGATTTATTTTTTTTATTTTATTTTTAATTAATTATTTATTTTTAAATTTACATCCAAGTTAGTTAACATATTGTGCAACAATTTCAGGAGTAGATTCCTTAATGCCCCTCACCCATTTAGCCCACTCCACCCCCCAAAGCCCCTCCAGCAACCCTGTGTTTTTTCTCCATATTTAAGAGTCTCTTATGTTTTTCACCCTCCCTGTTTTTATATTATTTTTGCTTCCCTTCCCTTATGTTCATCTGTTTTGAATCTTAAAGTCCTCATATGAGTGAAGTCCTATGATATTTGTCTTTCTCCAACTGACTAATTTCGCTTAGCGTAATACCCTCTAGTTCCATAGTTGCAAACGGCAAAATTTCATTTCTTTTGATTGCTGAACAATACTCCACTGTATACATAAACCACATCTTCTTTATCCATTCATCCATTGATGGACATTTGGGCTCTTTCCATACTTTGGGCTATTGTCGATATTGCTACTATAAATATTGGGGTGCATGTACCCCTTCAAAATAGCATACCTGTATCCCTTTAATACCTACTAGTGAAATTGCTAGGTCATGGGGTAGTTCTATTTTTAATTTTTTGAGGAACCTCCATACTGTTTTCCAGAGTGGCTGCACCAGTTTGCATTCCCACCAGCAGTGCAAAAGAGATCCTCTTTCTCCACATCCTCACCAACATCTGTTGTTGCCTGAGTTGTTAATGTTGGTCAATGAATCATGGATTTAAAAAAAATTTTTTTAATGCTTATTTATTGAGACAGAGACAGAGCATGAATGGAGGATAGTCAGAGACAGAGGGAGACACAGAATCTGGAGCAGGCTCCAGGCTCTGAGCTGTCAGCACAGAGCCTGATGCGGGGCTCAAACTCACAGACCATAAGATCATGACCTGAGCCAAAGTCAGAAGCTCAACAGACTGAGCCACCCAGGCGCCCCTTTTAAAATACCTTTTTAATGTTTATTTATTTTTGAGAGAGAGAGAGACCCAGCGTGAGCAGGGGAGGGGCAGAGAGAGAGGAGACACAGAATCTGAAGCAGGCTCCAGGCTCTGAGCTGTTAGCACAGAGCCCAATGCGGGGCCCGAACTCACGGACCATGAGATCATGACCTGAGCCGAAGTCGGATGCTTAACCAACTCAGCCACCCAGGTGCCCCAGTGAATCATGGATTTTAGATCAAGGGGGAATTATTTAGAAAAACAAAATCTACTTGTAAATTTATTCCACAATTGCATAGACATGTAGGCTGAAAATATTTTAAAAGTTTATTTAGTGTAGCCTCATGTTTTTTTTTTTTTTCAAGTTTATTTATTTATTTTGAGAGAGAGAGGCAGAGAGAGAGGAAGAGAGAGAATCCCAAGCAGGCTGCATGCTGTCAGCACAGAGTCCAGCCTGGGGCCCCAGCTCACGAACTGTGAGATCATGACCTGAGCTGAAATCAAGAGTTGGACTCTTAACCAACTGAGCCACCCAGGCATCCCGCACTCATCTTTAAATACAAGAAAACTGAAACACTTTTACCTTTTTCAAGGTAAAGCAAGTTGACAAAGGTCACATAGTATATTGAGTGTAATGATTTGGGGATGCAAGGAACGGAAAACCTGACTTATTACAAACTGAACGATGATCTAATTTATCTTACTAATGGAAGGACAGATATAGGATGGGAGTACTAGTTTTCTAAGTGTCATGACAAAATATCACGGACAGGCAGCTTAAACAACATACCTTTATTTTCTCACAGTTCTGGAGGCTGCAAGGTGCCAGCATGGTGGTTTCTCCTGAGGCGTCTCTCTTTGACTTATCAATGGCCACCTTCTTATGCGTCCTCACATGGTCTTTTCTCCGCGTGCATGCATCCCTGGTGTCTCTTCCTCGTCTTTTAAAAACACCAGTCCTATTGGATTGAGGCACCCATATGGTCTCATTGAACTTTAACCATCTTTTTTAAGGCCCTATCTCCAAATATAGTCACAGTGCAGGTAGGGCTTTAACGTAAGAACTTTGGGGAACACGATTCAGCCTGTAACACGGGCTTTAGCCTCTGGTGATTTAGCAGTTTGATAAATTATTAAAGTTTAAGAAACTGCCAACTTTTTCCCCAAGTGGTCAGTCACTTTACATTCTCACAAGCAGTGCATGAGAGTGCCACTTACTCTACATTTTCACCAAGATTTGGTGTGGTCAGTCTTCTTCATTTTAGTGACTCCAAGAAGAGTGTAATGGTATCTCATCTTGGCTTTGCTTACATTTCTTTAGTGACTAATGATGCTGAACAGCTCGTGTGTTTATTTGCTATTGCATATCATCTTTGATCAAGTGTCAGTTTAAAGAACTCCCAAAACTCCATCTTTTCCATTAAAAAAATTTTTTTTAAATAAAGGTTGAGTTTTGAGACTTCTTTATATATTCTGGGCACAATCCTTTATCAAACATATGCATTTTAAATATTTTCTACAAGTGTGTGGCTTATCCTTTCTTCTTTCCTTCCTACCTTCCTTTCTTCCTTTTTAAATTTTAATTAGCTTTATTTTTAGAGCAGTTTTATGTTCACAGAAAACTTGAGAAGGCACAGAGAGTTCCCACACATGGATAGCCTCCCTGTTACCAACCAGTCAGCAACAGAATTGCTACATTTGTTACAATTGATGAGCTACATGACACATCAAAATCACCCAAAGGCCATGGTTCACACTACCGTTCTTCATTTTTGGTGTTACACAGTCTACAGATTGGACAAAGGTATAATCACATGTATCCATATTTATGGCATCAGACAGAGTATTCTCACTACCCTAAGGATCCCCTGTGTTCTATTCATCTCCCTCCACCCTGCCCATCCCCCAGTCCCTGGCAACCACTGATCTTTTTATTGTCTTCATAGTTTCCCTTTTTCCAGAATGTCATGAAGTTGGAATCACACAGTATGTAAGTTTTTCCACAATGGCTTGCTCCTATGCTTTCTTATAGAAACTTCACAGTTATATGTTCTATGTTTAGGTCTATTTCATTCTGAATCAATTTTTATGTATGGTGTGAGGTATGAATTGACGTACAGCTGTTTTTGTGGGTTTTTTTTTTTTTTGCATATGGATATCCAATTATCCAAAAACTGATTGAAAATACTATCCTTTCTCTGCTGAATTGATTTTGTTTCTACCTTTGTCAAGAATCAGTTTTCCATATATGTGTGTGTCTATTTCCTGACTCTCCATTCTGTTCAGTTGATCTATTGGTCTACCTTGATGGCAATACTACACCGCTTTGATTATTGTAGGGTTATAATATTAAGTCTTGAAAGCAGATAGTGCCAGTCCTTCAACTTTGCTCTTCTTTTTCAAGGTTTTTTATTTTGCTCTTCTAGCTCCTTCAAATTTTCATATGAACTTTAAGATCAACTTGTCAATTTCTACAAATGAGTCTGCCAGAATTTTGATCAGGATTGTAGTGACTCAACTGACCTGTGAACATGGTGTACGTCTTCAATTTGGAGGGTCTTCCTTAAATTTGTTCGGCAATGCTCAGTAGTCTTCAGTGCACAGGTAGGTCTTTCACATCTTTTATCCCTAAGTGTTTCATACTTTTCGGTGTTACCGGAAATAGCTCAAGTTTCTCTCCTATAAGGCAACCCACCACATGTGCAAGGCTCATCTAGCCTTCTTTGAGTCACCCTGGGGGAACTGGGACTCAGAGAATTGTTAGAAAAACAGCAGATACTCTTGGTACTGTGATTTCTCTAAATAATCAATACACTCCTCCTCTCATGCTTAGGAGTCTTGTGTCTTCCACCAGCCTTCATGGCTGCTTGTTGGCTTGCAAATAAAATAAAATCTCATATCCTGTTACAGTTTCTGACATGTGCTATAGCAAATGCTCTGTGAACAGTGAGGTTTTTCTAGTCTGGCTGGTGGGAATAAGCATCATTCCTAGTCCTCTATGTGCATAGGTAACTATCACCTCTAATTCTTTTGGGTGGGTCTTTCCCTGGTCTTGGGTATTTTCTCACATGCAAGCATTGATGGGTAGTCACCTAAATTCTTGCAGGAGCCTCTTTGCAAATCTCCTGAGTTCTCTCTCTTCTCTTTGGTACTCTGCCCTGCCAATTCCAGTTGACTTGACTTCCCTGACTCTCAGCTACATCTTTTCAGCTTGGAAAGTTTTCCGGGGTGAGTTTAAATTTCCCCTCCCCATGCCATGGTCTGGGAACTTTCTTGAAGAAGTATGCTGGGGTAAATTATGGGGCTCACCTAGGTTTGGGAAGAATTCTCACTTCTCAGTGATCATTACCTTTCATGATCTGATATCTAGTTCTCGCAAACCACCGCTCCATGTATTTTTGTCCATTGTTCGGTTGTTTCAAACGGGAGGATAAATTTGATTCTAGTTACTCCATCTTGACCAGATACAGAAATCATATGAATTCTTCTAAGTAATCATCTTAAAATTAACTTTCTGTCTCGTTCACATCCAATTTGCTATTTTGGCTATTTTTTTAGATGTATAGTTCTTTTAAGTTTATTTATTTATTTTGAGAGAGACGGAGACAGCGTGAGTGGGGGAGGGGCAGAGAGCAAGGGAGAGAAAGAGAATCCCAAGCAGGCTTTGCACTGTTAGCACAGAGCCTGATGCGGGGTTTGAACCCACGAAATCAAGAGATTAAGACCTGAGCTGAAACCAAGAGTCAGGTGCTTAACTGACTGAGCCAGCCAGGCGCCCCTATAGTTTTCGGTTTTTATATATTACATCTATTGTTCTTGTTTTTAGAACTCACTCTCGTTGATTTTAAATTTGGAGAGTTGTTTGTACAATCCCAATAAATCAGTTATTTTTTCTTTCTTTTTTTTTTTTTACATTTTGTTTCATATTTAATTCTGGAATTAATTTTAGTGTAAGATGTGAGCCTCTAATCTTATTTTTCTCTGTAAATTAATTTTACTGAAATAAGTGTTGCATAATGCCCCTTTTTTATTCATGATACTTCCTGTGTAATATTTTGTTTTTATATATTCTAGAATTTGTTTCATTTACCCTTGTTTTTTCTTTTGATTTGTACATTTTAATTACCATACCCTTGAGGCACCTGGGTGGCTCAGTCGGTTAAGCGTCCAACTTTGGCTCAGGTCATGATCGCATAGTCTGTGACTTCAGGCCCCGTGTTGGGCTCTGTCCTGACAGCTCAGAGCCTGGATCCTGTTTCAGATTCTGTGTCTCCGTCTTTCTCTCTCCTACCCCGCTCATGCTCTCTCTCTTCTCGAAAATAAGTAAACATCAAACAAAAATTGAATTACCATACACTTATAATATTCTAATATCTAAACAGAGAAGCTTCACCTCAAGTCTCGTCTTTTTAAAAAATATTATTCTCATTTACTTATTTTGAATCTTAGAATTATTTTATCAAGACATTACTCTCTGCCTCTTCTCTCCCAAAATTTATTCAAATGGGATTTTGGTTGGCATAAATAAATAACTTCACAACACTTGATCTCTCCTTTAGGAACACAATATATAATCTCAGTTTTTAAAAATTTTCCTTTATATCTCTCATTAAAGTGACACATCAATTAAATTTTGTGATTTCTTTTCCTTTGAGATCACAGTAGGATTTAACATCACTGACAATCTCTTCTTTGGGGGAATTTGTCCCAGCGGTGCTCTTCCTTCTCCTAACTCTCTATCCCCATCCTTCTTTCTTGCGCTTTCCCAAGTAGCAGTGTTGACAGTCACTAAGATATCTTCTCTCTCTTTATGGTCTCCCTTCATAGATTTTTCTCTGTGTAGAGAGCCCCTGAACTATCACTTACCCAGAATGTCTATCCACAGCCTCTGTCCAACCATTTTCGCATTCAGACCTTGACAGATAGCAGCGCCCTCTGCTCCAGATATGCTGTGCAATTACCTTTCCTCTGATCTGTTCCGTGCTCCTCAGTTTAGAGCACTTCAGTGTACTGACATCAGCCAAGCTGGAGCAAGTCACCTGGAAAAAATTATTTTGTTTTCCTCCTATAAATATTGGTGTTTTAACAAGGAATCTTTCTTTTAATTCCTCGGATTCTTCCAAAAATGACTAACCCTCTATGGAACTTTCTAATAGTGCTGTAGGCAGGCAGGGACAGTATGTGGGTGCTGATATTATTTCCATCACACCATTTATTCTAGCTTTGTATCAGTCAGGGCCAATCAGGAGATGAAAATTACTTAGCAACTTAAATAGGAATGTTTAATATAAAGAATGGTTAACTATAACAGAGCATTGGAGTAACAAGGGATTGGCTAGTCAGAAATGAAGGGAATTCTAAGGGGTATAGTAACAGCAGATAAAAGGAACAGAGAATACCCCCAGAGCTGAAATAAAGCACCCAAGGAAAAAGTCCCTCACCAAACTCACATACATAACTGAGGTTCAGATCTTGTTGGAAAGGGCATAGCAGTGGCTCACTGGGGCTGAGCCAGCAACACTTGCTGGAAATTTATCCTCCAGAACTTTCTGGAAATTGCTGCCCTTTAAGGTGCCAGAGAAAATTGTTCATGGGCAGGTGTCCTGCTGGAAGTATTCTGCTATGTGATGCATAAAGGGGTTGGCCGGGGAAAGCTGCTGGCCACTAAGTACTGCTGACCACTGTGCATTGCAGAAACCAGATGCTGGTTTCTGTACAACAGGAGTTTGGGGATAGAAAAGCTAAGGCAGGAGTCTGAACGGAGGATCATACTCGTCCTGGGAAGAGGGCTCCTTCTTCTTACAATGTCATTATAGTGCCCTCTACTGACAACGTCCTACTGGTAGGCAACAGAAAAATATTTAAAGGATCTGCCTGTTTTTTCAGAGAGCAGCCAAAAAGGGTGAATGTGGCACTGAGAGGTAACAAGCTGACAACTGTCATGGGTACGTTTATACAAGGATATAGGTGACTTTAGTCATTTCCACCATACAATGGATATTTTATTTGCAAACCTTTCAATTATCTTAGCTCATTATAAGGGCAGAAATTTGTCATTTTTTAAATTTATGAATTCCAGTGCTTGCCAGAAATTTCCATTGTCTGCTCTCAGTACCTACTTGTTAAATGCACAAGTGCAACAGTATGAATAGGCAGTATTGCTCCGTGGTTGAACAGACCCTGGAGCAGACTACTTAGGTTTAAATGCGATGCTGTCACTTCCTGGCTGCATGACCTTGAGCAATTATTTAATCTTCTCTGTGCCTCAGTTTCCTCATCTTTAAAACAGGAACAATAGTACCTAGCTCACTGGCTTATTGTGAAGATTAAATATGTTAATACAGGAATCTCCCACTTAGTAGTAGTAATCCCTTGCTGAAAATCACATTTCTGCAGGAAAATCTGGAGCCGATTTTGTGTTCCTTTTAAAAAAGAAAAAATTGAATGAATAACCATCAACCAATTCAAGCCCCCAAGCAACTTAAGTTGCAGCTAAACATAGTAAATCCCTATGTATAAATAAACCATCACATTAAGATGTAAAATGCTGACCTTCAGTAATATTGGCAAATGGTACCTGGATGCCACACCGCCTCCTTTGCGCTGTAAGCATCTTTCTCTCTCAGGTTTGCCTCCTTGCCTGCAATTTTCTTCAAGTCTTTCCCAACTTTGTTTTGAAGTCAGTGTAGAACAGTAGGCAAAAACAAGGGTTAAGTATGAAAGTCAGCAGGTCACAGGTGACTGACACTGCATGGCAGATGGACACTGACCAGGATTGGGCAACTTCTCTGCCCCAGCTATATCCCAAGGGGATGTACCTCTGAAGTTGACAGCAACTGCACTTTTCAAAAGATTTATGCTGGAATTTTATCCTTTTCACCAATTGTATTTGGAATGTAACACTTCCTGTGCTGTTAAAAACAAAACAGCGTTTTATTTTAAAACGTATTGAGTTTGGGGTTATGTAAATATAATCCCCCGTCCCCCCATAAACACCAGCTGGGATGTGCGGAAATGAGAAATCTGTACTCCTTTACAGATTTTAAGTATGAAAAACCAAGAAGAGAAGACTTTATTTGGAATGTATCTGGCCTACAGAACGTGATGCCAAGTTTTACTGTCTTAGTCTGACTTATCAACTTTGTCGATAGTTGTATTGTCATTCATTAATTCACCCCCTCCTAAGATGTTTTTTGAGCACCTACTCTGGAGCAGCTTTGCTAGCCTGAGGGATGGAATAGTGAATGAGCTATGGTCCCTACTTTGAAGGAGCCAACAATTTGGGGGGGGTGGGGAACGGCAGGGCAGATTGCAGTAGCTGCCTGGAGGCGCTGCACAGCAGGAAGCAAGGGATCCACACGCCACGTCCGCTCTGCGCGGTCGGAGCCAAAGCTAGGCCCGCAGGAGAGGGCGGCCTGGGCCCCGTGCCACCTCGAACCCAGGGGAAGAATGCTACATTCTATTCGTTTCGCGATTGGAAGCCACGGCGAGGGTTAATCAGAGGGAGATATTGTGTGATTAAGTTTTTGAGACAGATCCGGTGTGTTGCGCTATGAGTCTCTGGCGGTGGTGCCTGGGGAGAGGGGAGGATACAGATATTCTAATCGGCACCGCCGAGCACGCTTTTCTCGCTTCCCAGCTGTGGGCGCGGTCAGTAGGCCCGGAAGGGGCACTGGAGGAACCTCCTAAACCAACTTTCAATAAAGCGGCACAGAAGGGAAGCGGCGTAGGGAGGAAATCAAAGTGAACCGCTCCTGGTTGCGGCAGCGGTCCAGGGCAAGGGCGAGCTGGCCGAGGAGTCGGCTGAGAACGTACAGTCACCGATGGTTTTTCTCCCAGGAGCGGACCTCACCTGGACACTCACCAATTCACAGTCCGAGGCCCCAGTCCCGGAACTCCGGGCTAGACGGCCCCGCCCCGGAACCTTGTGTTCCCGGAACTAAATGCGGAAGTTCTTTTTGTTACTACCGGTCGCAATTCTCATGGGTCGCTTCCGGTGAGGAAAGATGGCCGCGGCCGCTCGGGACTCACGTGTGGGTGCGGGGAAAAGGCTGAAAAATTCACTGAGGAAGAAAAAGAAGATGAAAATGGTAGCCCGGGCAGTGGCTTCGGAGCTGGAAGAAGAGGGCAAAGACGCTGCCGACAGTGGAGGTAACGTACTAGGGTTGAGCTTTGGCTGCTGAAAAAGAAGGCCCGGTTGAACTTGTGGCAAGGAGGGGATGCGAGTGGCTTTGCCGCTAGTTTTATCTCCGCGTGGCCTCGAAGGGGCGATTTGGGCCCAGTGAGAAGACGAGGAAGCGGTGTTCAGGGGGCAGACGCTTTGAAACTCCATATTCTTTTACTACACATTTCCATTGTCACTGTTATTAATGAAAACGGATGAAACTAGTGCTGACAGAAGCAAAAAGGTTACAGAGACGGAAGGCAAAAGGAAGGGGGGCCATTTGAAATTACGAGTGGGATAGGTTTCGTAGGGAAGGAGCAAAAGGCCAAAAGAGGTTAGAGGGAGGTAGGTGGTATACTTGACTTTTCTTGTGTGGTAGTTGCGTGACTCGGGAGTTAGAGACCTGATAGCGATGAAGGAAACGAGTACGTGGTTGAAGTAGAAT